GAGAGAGAGAGAGAGAGAGAGAGAGAGAGAGAGAGAGAGAGAGAGAGAGAGGCGTGGAAGAAGGGGAGGAACACTCACCTTCGGCAACGTACTCCAAGGACGTCCAAGGCGGCGGCAGGTCGCAGTAGCAGAAGAATGAACTCCACGGTGGATTGCAGCAGTGGATTACAGAATGTGGAGTGGAGTGCTGTTTTTCTGCGCGGCGGCGGCCTGGAAAGCAAGGAGTTTGAATTCGAATTCTCAGGGCCTCCCCGTTGGAGGGCATCCCAGGAAGATGCATCCATCGCCAAAGGGCAAATCGAATAGCCACCACGGGAAATGCGATCGGCGGTCCGGTAGGGGCATTCCCAAGAGTTGCGCCTCTCACTGACAAGGGCCTGCACGAAAGTTCAGAGGCCCCAGGGGCATATCAGGGTAATTCAGCCGTCGGAGGGGCAGACGCAAATAAACTCAAACTTCAGGGGCATTTCGAAAATTTTCCCAAAACAAAAGAACAAAAAAAAGAAAAAGTACGTAGAATAAAATTAAAATAGAAAAGTGAAAACACAAAAGTTCCCAAAACTGTGCGACGATCTCCCACTACGCGCACGTCACCCATGTCTCCGCAGCCATCCTGGCTGGGAACAGTGGGATGGGGGACTTTGCTGCTACTATCTCTGGCGCTAAGTGCCCCTAGCGGGAGCTTGGAGTTGGTTTCGAGCAGGCAACGGTTCCTGCCATGCGATCTGAACATCTCACGGCCCCACTAACCCCCCCATAAGTAGCGGGACTAAACCCTGCCTGAGTATTGATTGAATTATTTAAATAAATAAACAAATAATGAATAAATAAATAAACAATGAATAAATAAATAAATAATGAATAAATAAATAGTAAATCGAGGAAAAGGCACAAATCCGTACAACCAATTCGTTGTGGAAGTCGGAACGTTGCGGAGAAGGCCAGCATCACTCCTGCGTAAGGATGACGCGCACGATTCGAGAGAAAATTGTTGCAGAACGTGTTTTTCTCGCCGCTCGCGCCCCTTTCCCCTGCGATATCGCTCCTCTTGTGCCAGTCAGAAGGACGGTGGGTTCATTCGGTTTATCACACCGTACCGCCATTGACTGGAAAGTAAAATTGCGAGAGGGCCGTGATCGGGGTGCACCTATGTGATATGAACTGGGGATGGGTGCAGAAATACATGAATTTGTATACATCAGAGTTTATACGTAAGCAAGGCAGTAATCTGTTGATTGATTCAGATGTGACTGATCAGTTTGACAAGTGTTTGTGGTGACCATGTCAGTGAATGCTCAGAGTACAAACTAATGAACCGTGATAAAAGAAAGAAAAGACAAGTAAGAGCGTAAACATTGTTTGACGACTTGAAAGGGAAGAGAGAAAAGGCAAGAGAGTATCTCGTACGCTGATGGTTAATGCGCAGGACCGGAGATAAGAGTAAGAATGCTCTGAGAAACCGGCGGCAGTGACAAAAAAAAAGAGAGGCGGATCACAGGAAGGTGAACAGTACGAGCGATGAGCTGACTGGTAACTAAATGCTATTGTTCGATGGATTGGTTGATTGATGGTTTAGTAGTTGTTCGATTGATTGGCTGATTGGTTTTTCGGGATTTTCTTCTTCTCTCTCTGCTGATTGATAATGTGGTATTCGACTGAGTGATAGGTTGGCGTCACCAGTAGCGAGGTGTAGTTTGTGTGGCGTGTGGTGTTGCGCGCTCGCCTGCTACGGGCGCTACGCCATGGCGGGCAGAGGGGCAGAGCGGTTGTGCGGATGAGCGACCGACTAATAGATGATCTGGGCGACCGGGTGAGCGACAGGGGGTGCGGCCCGGTGTCGCTTTGATCGACCTCAGCGAATTGCTGTGGGTCAGTCATTGTGAGAGGAAATGAAATGGAAAGACAGCAGGCTCTGAGGCGAAACGGTGTTATGATGTTTAAGTGACCGAAGTGTCGATGTGAGTGTGACATCCCTGATGTCGCTCATCGATGGCGTCGCACACTGCGTACGTGCTGCCGAACAGCAGCGGAACACCATCGCCAGCACGACCGGGCGTCTCGTGGGAAGCAGGGGTTGGAGGGGAGGCCCATGTTCATCGTTCCCATGACAGTCCGCTGCTGGCTTCGATCACGAAATCAGGTCATCCGCATCCCCGTCAGCGTGGCGAGCACCACGAACTCTTTTGCTCCACCGTCGTCCGTCTTCCTGGGGGGCAGCCGTCGTCCCCCTTCGTGGTTTTGTGCGGCGACTGTGGTGACCCCGCCGTTGTTAACCCTTGTCGCAAGTCTGCCACTGCCGCCGCCGCTACCGCTGCCGGAGCTCAGTATCGGCGCTGCGGTCAGTGCGCAGCACTGTCTTTGTCCTGGAGTCAGGCGAGCGTAGGAGAAGATGACGGAGGTGATAATGGAAGGGGAGGACCAGTAAGGGGGGGAAATAGGAGTTCGATGATATGTGGGCGGCATGTCGTTTACCAGAAGTGGAGAAGGAAGACAACTGCAGCGGCGTCAGCGCCGCCGTCGACGACTTCGTTTCATTACTTGCAGAATCAGCAATATCGGCTGCCTGCACATCATCAGGTGCGGCTGGCGGAAGGGGTTTTCATCTTCCTTCTCGATGTTCGGTTGGGGAGTGTGATTCTGAACGAGTGTCAAAACCGTGCCATTCCCAGGCCATTGACCACATCCCTGATTGACAGATGGGAGGATGACACGTGGAGAAGATTATGCAGTAATAGCCGAAGCGGAGGGAAGTGTGCTGCCGCCGACGGTCAGAAAGTGGTGGAGGACCGTAATAGTTCCACATCTCGCAGCTCGTCGTCAGCTGGAGGAGGCGGCGGCGGAGGACACACTGGTAGTGTAAGTGCAAGAGAAGGGGCAGAGGTTCCCGTCTTAAGAAGGAAACGACTTAGGGTCGGAACCTTGGCCCTCGCTATCGTGTTTGGGGGGGTAGGATGGTTTATTCACACGTTGCTATCCGCTTTGCCGCCTGATTTTCTCCAGCGGTGGCAGAAACTGTTCGCGGAACAGCCGCACCGTCCTAGTCATGGGCGTCCAGAGACACGTGGCGGCACGGTGCTGTACGATCGACACGGGACAGTGATTGCCACAGTTGTCCAGGGCGGCGTGACGGGAGAGAGGAAGACGAGGGAGGGCGGCGGAGCGGCAGCCAATCAGAGGGCGCCTCTGCAACCGCACGAGATCCCATCGTACATGTGGCAGGCTGTCGTGGCCTCCGAGGATCGGCGATTCTTCGAGCACAAGGGGGTCGACCCTCGAGGTGTTTCCCGAGCCCTGTTGTCCCTCGCGAAGAGTGGGGGGGGGAGCACCATCACTCAGCAGCTGGTAAAGAACGCCTTCCTGACCAGCGAGCGACGGTGGTCCAGAAAGCTGTTGGAAATGCTGATAGCCTTGATACTAGAGCGGCTGCTGACCAAGTGGGATATCCTCCATCTCTATCTGAACAAAATTTACTGGGGCCACGGAGTGCACGGGATCGAGGCCGCGGCGGCTCTGTACTTCAATAAGCATCCGTCCATGCTAACGCTCGGAGAGTGTGCAATGCTTGCGGGTATCATTCCGGCGCCGGAGTTATTGTCGCCATACAGGGATCCCAGCAGAGGGAAGAAACCTCAGGCTCGAGCACTGAGAAGGATGGTGGAGGCGGGTTTTCTCGACGCCGGCATGGCCGCGGCTGCTGTGAGCGAGCCTCTCGTGCTCGCTTCCGGGGAGGCTAAGGAAGGGACGTCTGGTCCCTGGCGGGCTCCTTATTTCGTCAGCGAGGTTCTGTGGCAGCTGACCGAGAAGTATGGTGCCGAGGAGATGCTGCGGGGAGGGTTGCAGGTCCACACCACCTTGGACTTGCCGATGCAGGACCTGGCGGAGAAAATCCTCAGGGAGACCGCGGCGGAATACGACCGAGAGCGCATTGTCAGCGCGGAGAGAGCCTATTTGAAGACGAGGGATAGTTTGGAAAAGGTGAGGAAGGAGTTGTATCAAAAGCTCATGCAACGGCAGAAGAGGAAGGAGGAGGAGCTGGCTATTTTCGGCCTTGACAGTCGGTATGATGGCAATGCAGTCCTTACGGGTGGCGTCGATGGCGTTAGCGACAGCGACAATCACAGCAGTGCGCCGCCGATGGTGATCCCCGCAAGCAGCAGCGGAAGTAGACCCGTCAGTCAGACCGTGAGTGGGGGGGGGGCCGACGGTGCTGGTAGCAATATTCGGAGGAGGAAACTGAGCAGCAAGGAAGAAAAAGAGAGGGAGACTGAAGATCGGAATTTGGCGGCGGCGATTGAACAACTAGAGCGAAATGTGGAGTATTATCAGTCACAGCTTGTCGAGCTTAGGAAAGAGATTGAAGCCGCCAGCAATGCCAGAGTCGAGGGGGCCATGGTCTGTGTGGATCCGAACACTGGCGAAGTTAGGGTTTTGGTTGGAGGCAGGGATTACTACGAAAGTCCGTTCAATCGAGCCACTCAGGCTTTTCGTCCTCCCGGGTCGACGTTCAAGCCCGTCGTGTATTTGGCGGCACTGGCGGAGGGAACGGAGAAGGATCATATCATCGTCGATGAGCCGTACTCTGTGGGCGGTTTCACTCCGGAGAACTACGACCGAAGGTTTAGAGGAGAGGTGACAGTGGAAGAAGCGTTGATCAAGTCCCTGAACGTGCCAACGGTGAAGTTGTGCGCGGAAGTTGGTGTGGAAAAAGTGTGCAAGATGGGTCGTGCGTTGGGCATAGAAGCGCAACTGCCCAGAGAGCTGGCCCTGTCCCTGGGAAGCTGCGAGGTGACGCCTTTGCAGCTTGCCACGGTGTACGCTACGATCGCAAGCGGCGGGATTTATCACAGGCCGCATTTGATCGTTCGGATAGAGGACCAAGACGGTAGAGTTTTGGAGGACGAAGCAGCGAAATCCGCGAGCTCGGGGGGTGTAGACAGAAGGTCCGCCGCTGTGGTGAACGAGTACGCGGTGTCGGAATTGCGGAAGCTTCTGCAGGGAGTGGTGGAGAGAGGCACCGGAAAAGCCGCTCGTTTGGGTCGGCCTTGTGCTGGCAAAACCGGTACGACAGACGGACACAGAGATGTCTGGTTCGCCGGCTTCACTCCAGATCTAACGTGTGTCGTGTGGCTCGGCTATGACGACAACGCTCCCTTAGGCGGCGTGCATCCCGCGACAGGCTCCTCTCATGCCGCCCCGCTGTGGAAGAAGTTCATGTCCTCTGTTCATCGAGAACTACCGGTTCGGAAATTTCAGGACATTGGTAAGGAAGGCAAGCACACCGTTCAGGGGATGCGGGCATTTGAGAAGCGCTCAAGACGGCGGACCCGGGTCGGTCTCAAGGAGGTGCGAGATTGTGTGAAAAAGGCGGAACCTAACCGACCTTGGACGGACGTCTGGGATTGGGAGAAGGCCAGCAAGGCATGGGAAGAGAAAGAGAAAATGGCGGAATGGGCTGCGGAAAGGATCAAGCGGTCCGCGGAGGTGAAGGCAATCAAGGAGAGGTTCACACGCTCCTTGCGGGGAGCGGCGGGACCGCCGCGCGCAACCGCCGAGCGAGGAGTGCAATGGGGCTCCGATGTCGGAAGCATTGTCGTCAGGGAGACGGAGGGGTCAGAGGAGGATGAGGAGGAGGACTTTGAAGAGGATTACGACTTCTATGGTGATGGTGAGGACGGGCTCGGAGACTTGCAGGGCGAACAAGCCCCTCTCGTTCAGGAGTCTATCTCCGTCTCACCACCATCCTTGTCGATGGAGGCAGGCTTTCGACGGAATCGGGAGTGGGATCGGAAGGGAGGAGATGAGGGTGTACCAATGGGAGCTGGTGGCGGAAGAGACAAGACCGGAATGGTCGCGGAAATCGTTCGAACTGCGGCGCGGGAGAGTGTCATGAGTGGAAGGGTAAGACTAGGTGTTCTTGATGACGGGTTCGACGGTCCGGATGGACTGGAAGTGCCCATAACTACTACTGGAGGAGTGGCTTCAACAGGGGATAGTAACAGGGGAGAGGAGGGGACAACTCGCAAGGAGCTTGCGAGCGCGAACAGGGGAAAGAGGGATATGCAGGGCAGGACAGGGGGTCTGGCGTCTGATCTGGAGGCCGGGCAACAGAGGAGGAGGGGGTTGATTCGTCAAGCGGCCAGAACTTCAGGGTTTGGCGTTGGAACTTGGAGGGGCAAGCCCGCTAGCGATCGGCAAGATGGGCACTTGAGGAAGGCGAAGGAAGGCGGTGGCGCGACAGATGGGAGAGACACGGACCGGAGCGGTAGTGGCAGTGGAGGAGGTAGCAGGGCGCTCAGTGGGCGGTCGACGGAGATGCACGTGAAGGAGAAGAAGGATACATTGCCAAGCGATGGTCGTGCACTTATGAAGCCGGGAGGTGAATGGTGCCCGCAAGGAGTGATCCCGGAAGCAGTGAAGAAAAGTGGGGAGATAAACGACGAGAGAATTGAGGGTGCTGCGGTAGGGCATGGAAATGACAATGGCCCCAACGGGGGAAGCAGTGAGTTGAAGAATCGCCGTCGCCTCAATGATCCCGAAGAAGCGGCGAAGGATGGTGATGATCACGATGTTCTGTCCAACGCAAGCGCCGAAATGGGCACAGACAAAGCTGCCATGCGTTATGTCGGGGGACAAGCTGCAGCAAAATGGCTCAATGTTGGTCGCCAACAACGCCAACTCCTTGGGAACTGGGAAACCGGTAACGGCGGTCGGCCAGAGGCAGGCACAGTAGACGACGAACGCAATAGGTGATAAGGAGAAGAACCTGGTAGTCTGACAAGAACCGTGTTCATGGGAAAGAAGGCGTGACGGTTGTGGTGATTCGGAATGGCAAAGAAGCGTTGCCGAATACGAGCGATGATGCTTTTGTGAAGTGAGGGACGGGGAGGATATACGTAGCCAGTCAATCAACAAATCAATCAATCAACCTATCAGCCAATCAATCAATCCATCATAGGAACAAAAGGTGGGGGTAGCGGTGAAAGGGCGTTCTGCCCAGCGTTCTCTCTGGAAACCGAGAGTGACACGTGTGTGTGTGTGTGTGTGTGTGTGTGTGTGTGTGTGTGTGTGTGTGTGTGTGTGTGTGTGTGAGAGAGAGAGAGAGAGNGAGAGAGAGAGAGAGAGAGAGAGAGAGAGAGAGAGAGAGAGAGAGAGAGAGAGAGAGAGAGAGAGAGAGAGAGAGAGAGAGATGAACGTCAAACATGTCCCCACAGTTGGGCGGGGATCAGTGGTGCAAAAGGAAATGGGGTCGTCGTGAACAGTAAAAGGGGAGCATCTGGGATAGTGTTCCTCTGTACACAGAGAACTCAACAGAGAGAGGGGCGGAGTGTGGATGGAAGAGGAAGGAGAATGGAGGGGATGGGGGTAGAATAGGTTCTCAATCAAATGGGAATGGTTGACGAGGGGTTAGTTATGATGATAGGACATCGGCAGACAACAGGGAAGACGTAGGCTGAGAGGCCCGAATGACGGCCCAGCAGGTGATTGGTGTGGCGATCAAAAAGGTTTATGCCATTTTCAGCAGGGGTTGTCCTCTCGACAATGTCAGGGAGAAGGACAAGCTCAGCAGATTATGCCATTTTCGGCACGAGTGGTCTGACGACCTACTTCATTATTTTCGGTTTGGGCCATTTCTGGTTCGACATATGGAGGTTTATCCGAGTCGGTACCCATGCTTTCACAGGGTGCTCTGAGCACATTAAATCGACATTCCTGAGGGATTGCGTGTTTCGTAGCCATTGTAGATTACTATTGACAGCAAGCATAGCAGGTAGAAGATGGCCTTCTTCATAAGGAATATCTGGAGATGATTAGACCAAAAGAGGGAAGCCGAAGGTGTCGATTGATCCTGATGTCACATTCCTCCCTCGAGGTGAATGTTGTGCCAACACCCAGAGAGCTGTGAGCAGTGGAGCCACACGGAAGGGGATCCAGAGCGGGAAGAGGGAAAGGAAGAAAGAGGAGGAGGAGGAGGTGTTTCTGGCAGGATTATGGAAACGTGTAGTGGCATCGGGAATGAAACAGGGCAACGCGGTGGACCCTACCTGGAGCGGGGAAAAAGAGTGCGGTGGGGGAGGAATTCAGATGGCGGAAGCAGACGGGAGGAAAGAAGGAGAGAGAAACAATAGGGAAGAGGAGGCGTTTCTGACAGTGGGGACTCTGGAAACGCACCAGAGAAGGGATCTCAGTGGCACCACAGGAACGTAAAAGGGCCAGGGTGGGTTCATGGAGCTTACCTGGCTCCTTCCTGTACACAACTTGGCGACAAGTGAGCAAAACAAGCGATTTTGTTTCAGCCTTCCTTGGATTTTTTCCCGTGTTGGAGCACCTGCAGAATGTCATAGCAAATACCGGGTTACTACGTACAGTGATTGGGGGAGGCGTGGTGTTGTGTGCATGTGCGTGTGCGTGTTGTGTTTGTGTTTTTGTATGTGTTTGTTTGTGTGTGTGTGTGTGTGTGTGTGTGTATGTGTGTGTGTGTGTGTGTGTGTGTGTGTGTGTGTGTGTGTGTGTGTGTGNGAGAGAGAGAGAGAGAGAGAGAGAGAGAGAGAGAGAGAGAGAGAGAGAGAGAGAGAGAGAGAGAGAGAGAGAGAGAGAGGAGCAGGGGCTTGCTATGCAGCAGTCATTGTCAACGAGGAAGCTGGGAATCAGAGTGGCATGAACAGGCGGCAGATATGCGCGAAAGGTATAGGAGGTTGTGGAGGAGATGACCTCACCCAGGTGAGCCGAAAGGAGGGACTAGCCTGGAAAGGAATGAGTAGCAGATCCTCTCTGTTACTGTACTTCATCGTCCATTTTCATGACTGAAGCATGTTGAGCCAGCCCGGCACAAGAGGGTTTTGAACTACTTTTTTGTTCACCCGTGAAGGATTGCCACAGATTGGTGACTGCATGGTGACCATGAACACAACACCCTGCATGTGCCCTGATAGCGATAATATGCGCTCTCACGTCCAGGAGCAAGTACGGAGGCTGAATACGGCTGAAGGGCCATGATTGTGGTTCATCGGCATGGTGGTGGCATTACACCCAGTGTGCTGTGGCAGCATACAGGCTGCGCTAACCATGCTCCTCACATGGTGGTGGCCATCTGGTGTGTGGCTGAAAGGCCACGACTGTGGTTCATAGGGGGGGTGCCTGGTGGCAGTACATTCAGAACTGAAGGGTGTTGTCCTGCTTTACGTGGGACTACATGTGGTCCTCTGAACAGGATCGCAGCCTCTGGCTGCGGTAACCATGCTCCTCAGATGGTGGTGGCCATATGCTGTGGTTCTAAGCCCTATATAGTATATTGATATCGATTTGAGATGTGGCGGAGTACGTCCCAGAATTATTTGTCAGCATGATTCCGTTTAATCACCAGATTTTTCGATCTCAGGGGAAAGCCACCGTGTACAATACAACATACGCGGGGTCGACGTGTAATGCGTTTCAACTGCGCTAAAAGAACTGTGTTAATGCATTGTACTCCAACCTGGCAGACCAGAGAGGGCAAACAAAGAAAGCCAACTAAGAAAAATGCAGAAAGAATGCATGTATGTGATAGAGGGCATAATTTTGAACAACTTTTAGCTGGGACACATGCTCAAATTTTCGCCAGATTCTGAACTAAAAAAACTGTAAGAAAAAAGTTCAAAAAACTGTGAGCAGTTCACAGTTTTTTCAATTTCTAAAGATCCATTCATAGATCAATAGATAAATCTATGCCCTTGTAGATTGATCTTTGGACGTATAGATTGATCTTTGGACGTATAAATAGATATCTCAACTATAGATATGTGGGCTGGGGGAGAACAGATTGCTTGTTTCTCTTTAGGGGAATGTTTTTGGCGTTATGGAATGTGGGGGGCGCTGGAGTATAGGGGTGAGGGGGTCTGTCGGTTATGGTGGGGTGAGGATACGGGGGTGTGTGGGTATTGGCGGGGTGGAGTATGGCTCTGGTAGAGGTGTCGGCGGGGTGGGCGGATGATGTCGGGATATGGGGCGTGTTGGGTTGTGTGGACATCAGGGGCTTGGGTGTGTGGGGTTGGGGTTGGTCTGGGGCCTGTGGGGTATGGGGTTATGGTGGGTGTGGGGATATGGGGGAGCAGGGGTGTGCTTGGTCTTGGAGTGTTTATAGGGGTCTTGTAGGCTACATGGTAAAACGGGGGGGTAGGGGAGGGGTTTCTTTCTATTTTTCTGCCTTAGTAGTCCTAGGTGGCCGCACCCTCCCCCCCCAACCCAGCACATTCAACACAAAACTCGCTGTGTGCTGGGTTGTTAGGCATTGTACTCCATAGCACTCAGGGTGGGGGTCGTTGTACTCTGTAGTACCCCGGTATACGGGAGAACAATGTGTACAACAGTACATGTAGTCCTCTATCGATCAAATACGCTGGCTGGGTGGGAGCTCAGGGATGAGATCTACAAGTGTTTCAAGACAAATGTGATGGCTTTTGCAACTTCGTGTGGAATGAAGTTGAAAGGAAAATGGGGACTCCTTTTGATGTGAGTTGTGATGTAGATACGGAAGGCTACTTGTGGGAGGTAGGGGTGATGTAATAATACTATAAATTTGATGTGAATCCTGTGGAATTCATTTGGCTCACTTGGGTGGTTGTGAGCTTCCTTGGGAAGGTACACCATTTGCTCTACCATTGCAGGTGGCAGTGTTAGCGAAAGGTACTAGAGATGCTTCACAAGCTGGATCCTGCAAGGTGTCTCCTAGCCCAAGTCTCTCCGTAATCCTTGCCTTTCTACTTGTTTCTGTAGGCCCTGCCTTCTACTACTTGTCTCCGTACTCCTTGCCTTCTACTTGTCTCTGTAATCCTTGCCTTCTACTTGTCCCACTGTGTCCTCGGTTCCTTTTTATCGATTGACTTGCATTTGGGTTTCCGGAGTGGGTTGACCCCTCTCTGTCGCGCTTCTTTGTGATCTGGCAGGGTGTCCCAATGTTGTGAAGGGGATTTATTAATAATGATGGTTCCTACATGCATTCTGGAGTTCGCTTCGTTGCTGATAGCCCATAGGTATCTAGGTCATCACTCGTCCATGAGGAATGAGGAATATGAAAGGCTGATGATGGTATGCTAGTTGGACTGGGGGTATTCTAGAGGGACCTATGGCGGAGCTGATACTTATGTGGATGGTTGTTCAAATGGGCTCAAGGTAGGGAAGGAGGGACTATCTCAATTGTTGTGGTGTTGCCTTAAGGAGAGATGTGGAGGCGATTTGCCTGTAGGCAGAGAGTGTTGTTTCTCTTGGTGCCGTTTGTTAGTTGAACAAACTTGGATTGGACTGATGAGATGTGTGATGTTCCACGTTGATGGTATACCCACTTCCTGAATGCCTACCACACTGGGAAAATTTTGTTGAATCAGTCCGATGAACGTTGAAATGAATGTGACAGTTTTCTTGTGGGAGTCATTTTGCCTCTGTAATTGGGCACAGCAGGCCAATAAGGTGAAAGGATGGAGTAATGGATTCGTTCCTACTCATCATGAACATTCTCCTTGGGGTTTCCTTGAGGGTATGGCAACCTGCTGCTATGTTGTAGGTGATACACACACACACACACACACACACACACACACACACACACACACACATATATATATATATACAGGGTTGCCAGGCCGAACGTACGGAGGCCCCTAAGCTGACCCCCGAACGTTTGGCCGTTCGGGTCCCCGCAGAGGTTCGGACCCCGCAAAAAAATATTTTGGCACCTAAATATTATTTATGTTTTCTGAATTTTTTTTTGTGAGTTCTTTGTGATGTAAGGTATCTCCCTCTTAATTTTGAAGCCATTCTGTCCATCCAAAACAAAATGAAAAATCCTCAAAGATGGTGGCGTCAAAACTTGCTTGCCCACTCACCAATTTGTTTTTTCTCTCTTTTCACTTTTTGTTTTCCCTTTATTTCGGGGCATGAAAAAGAATATTATTTTTTCAAACTTTATTTGTAGATTCTCTATTATGTAAGAAACACATATATCAAACATAGAATTTGATATATGAAATTTGCTGGCCAGGGCGTTGGGCGCAAGACCCCCGTTTCTAATTTTTGTTGACGTCGCTGCACTGTCTCAGTGTCAGCGCCGTCAGGGGCGGTGCTTTGGCAACGGGGGATCGCATGGGTGCTGTCAAGAAGATGGTGATGCCGAGCCAGAGCTTGTTGCTGGTGGGAGTGTGGGGGATCGAGTGTGTGGGCACTAAGAGGGACATGCTGCAAGAGGGTCTGAAGAGCCCTTGCCATGGGCCAGTCCCGGTTGACTGGGGTTAGTAATCCTGTTCGAACGAGGAAGGATGGTGGCAGATGTGTGGACGTTCGACGGGCGGGATCCGAGCATTGCGATTTGCCAGAGTTTCAGCTGGTTTATAACTGATTCACACCTGATGGAATTGATCAAGGGCTTAGTCCTTCGGTCTTTGATATGGAGATGCTGCGGGGTTATCCTGTCTATGAGCAATTGTAGGCGGCCTGCGGCGAAAATTTGCCAGAGCTGCATGACGATAGAGTGCCGCGGTGCGATGGAGCTGACCGCACGAGTTATGCTGCTTTGTTGATTTTGTTGTGCTATAGAAACTAGCTGCTGTTATTGAATTTGTCGTGTGGATGAAACTGTGAAAACTAGGGTTGGACTATGGGGGTTTGCAGCTAATGGAAATTTAGTTTTTGGGATTGCAGACACGAAGAATATGATTTTGTAGGTTTGGTGATAGAAATAGTAATTTGTCAAGTATTTTGTTGTTTAAACTAGGGCTTGTTCTACGTTTGCTGCCTTTTGTGTTCTTCGCAGACAATAGGAATTATGTATTGAACGATTGTTGCTTTTGTTGGCTTATAGAAACTAGTTGTTGTTATCGAACCTGCTGTGTGTTGAAACAGTATTAGGGTTGGATGATTGGGGTTTGCAGCTATCTGTTAGTTTGTAGGTTTGGCGATAGAAATAGTAAATTGCTAGTACTTTGTTGTTGAAATTAGGTCTCGTTCTACGTATGCCGCCTTTTGTATTCTTTGCAGATAAAAGAATACAAAAGGCGGCATACGTAGATGGTTGGTGGAAACTAGGGTTGGACACCTGACTTTTGCAGCTATGGGGAATGAGGTTTTTGGGACTGCAGGTAGTAATGAGAATAGGTTTATGTTGGCTTGTTGATTTTGTTGGTCTACAGAAACTAGCTGTTGTTATCGAACCTGCCGTGTGTTGAAACAGTATTAGGGTTGGATGATCAGAGTTTGCAGCTATTTGTTAGGTTTTTTTTTTTTTTTTTTTTTTTTTTTTTTTTT